ACAGTGGGATGAAGTGAAAAACGTCTCTAGCAAAGCAATTTATCACAGTAGATAAATATGTTACAGTGGCATCTTAATTTCATTTTGTCCGTTTTTTTTCCCACATTTCTAATCAACAGTAAAGGCAGCAGGGAGCTTTTGGACTCGAGACATAGTGGGATGAAGAAAAAAATGTCTCTACCAAAGCAATCTATCACTTATTATTAGACCATGGCCAATGGAAATGTCAAATTATTAGAGTCAAATTACAATTGATGTTTGATGTGACAATCTGAAGTCTTATGTCAAATTTTATGTTTCTCTAACCGATTTGTCAAATATTATTATTTTTTATTTATGTAGAGCTTTAAATGGTTTTATTTATAAATAAAATAAAATAAAATAAATTGCTAAAACAAAATTTTAGGGACCTTTATATAGAGAGACAAAAACTTACACTATATTTCAAGGAACTCCACTAGTTTTTAAACATGTCAATAAGAGACAAAAATATAAAAACAACTAAAACCCAGCCCCAAAATATGGAAACAATGTTTTAAAGTACCAGCCATACCCCTAAGGCTCTAGTTAATAGAAATTAACCCTCACAACTTCAATAAAATTAATGTGTCATAAACTCAACTCATCCTCGACTACTTCTGCAGAATCAGTTTTGAAACTATATGTAGAATCAATTTGTATCATTTACTTCTATAATTAGTTCAATCAGTCCACGACCATTGTTACAGAATCAGTTCAACCCGTCTATGATCATTTTTGCATAATCAATTCAACCCGTCTTCGATCATTTTTGCATAATTAGTTCGATCTGTTCTTGACCATTTTTGCAGCATCAGTTTAATCAGTCCTGGACCATTTTTGCAGAATCATTTCAACCCATCCTCATTATTTTTGCATAATCAGTTTACCCGTCTTCAACTATTTTTGCAGAATCAGTTCAACCCGTCCTCGATCATTTTTTGCATAATCGGTTCAAACATATGCAGAAGCAATTTTGGTATTATGCTTTTTAGTGCAACCAATTTGTAAATACATACTTACATTCAATGTAGTTGATTACTTCAACTATCCTCACAAACTAATTGTGCAGTCATAGAACGGATGCTCAGAGATTGTGTGACCATTTCATTCTAAGTAACGACAAGTCTACTCTGCCCAAGCATAAACCCACGTTCCAAAACTGAGGTGGGCTGAACTTTGAAGCCAAATTTCAATAGTGAAAATATTTCATAAAAAATAAAAATTAAAAATCACAATTAACAGCCAACAACTAACAACATTCAAAATTGCAACATGCCAATCAGCTACATGGGACAAGAACAGAGAAGGAAATGAGTAATAAAGAGCTGGCCACCAAAGCAGCACTCACAAATCGATCAAAACTCCCAAATCTAAAAAACCCCAATTTAAGAAAATTCACTGTGATTAATGATTAAACAAAATTAATCATTTTTTCATACCCATAATTGCCCAGATTAGTTCATCAAGGCACAAATGATTAATGTTATATCAAGACGAAAAGCAAGAAAGACTCAGAAGAGAAATGGGGATAAAGAGGGTTAGAGAAGAGTTGCTGCAACAGCAAGCCAAACAAAGGGAGACTCAAGCATGGCTAGACTCATATTTATCTTCTTATACCCTTGTATTAGATTATTTCCTCTATTTTTTATTTTGTTTGAGTATTGCTCTCTTGAACACAGTCACAATCCTGGAATAATTTAAATTGGCATTCACATAATAGCTAAGTTCTGACTTATTGATGACTTTATGAAAATCACATGTCGTGTTTTTCAATGTTTAGCAACACTTGAAATGTTGATTACTATATACCGGGGCACGGTCAGGAATGCATTATCTGAACATTGTTCATATAAAAAATTATAAAAAGAATAATCAAAAGGACCATTCCTTTTTATATACCCATTAGTTAATCAAAAATCCCCAAATCTCAGAAACCCAATCACCTATGAGGAATTTTTATATACAGATGGAAAGGAGTATGGCTGCGTGAGCATGGTGTTTGATGAATGTTTATGTTGTTTTGTGAGGTATTAGCTTTTGGGTTTAGGTGGAAAATGTAGGTTAGAATCTGAATGATTGTGATGTTAACACCTATGTTAATAGAGGGTATTTCTGTAACTTAAAAAAAGTCAACGATGTCATATTTTACATGTATTAATTTTTGTTTATCATTGAAATGTTTAAAAATGTTGTCTCCATATACAATTAAGTATTAAAAGTATACTTTGTGTAATTTTCCAAAATTTTATTGGTTGAAATGTTAGTGAAATAAGAGACCCACCATTAAACTAATTAAAAATAAATTTGACATTGATGTCAAATTTGACTTCTAAACACAAAGGCTTCCAATCTAGTCAGCAAATAACACTTCAGCTAGAATGATTTTTTATATCAAATATGCACAATCGTATCTCCCCTTCAAATTTGATATCCCTTTTGAAGATTTTCTTAGAAGTTTTGATTTATATGTTATAAATTATCCCATGAATGACAATTGTTCATTCAAATAAAAAATGCAGATATAACCAAATTAGTGGGAATTCTAATCCCTTGGTCCCACCAAAACTAACAAAAGCTAAAAACCATGAAATGAGGATCCTCTCCAAATCCTCTTTGAGAGGATCTTGGAAATCCTCAAACTGTATATATTCATCGTTTATGTTCATCGTATATCGTGCGGTTAATTATCTTAAAGTACTATTCATATTTAATTTTAAATAAAAAATCTTCGAAATCCTCAAATCGTGTATATTCATTGTATATCGTGCGGTCAATTATCTTTAAGTACTATTCATATTTAATTTTAAATAGAAGTATTTAAAATAATTTTTAACCACACGATGTACGATGAACGAATATGATTTAAGGATCCCTAGGATCCTCACAAAGAGGATCCAGAGAGGATCCTCATTCAAACCATGGGCTGCTGATGTGGATTACATACAAACCAGATAAGAAAAGCTGTTTATTTTAACTCAGTAACTAATTATCTTCCCAAAACAGGGAGCTGCATAAACCATAACCTTCCTTATGCATACATACCACAGAAATTACAGAGGAAAACACCAACGATGTGAAGATGAAAAGTCGATTTTCTCTAAACTTCTATAGACGAATCTTGCCATTAAGCGTCAGCGGTGGTGGTGGCGGCGGCGGCGGTAGCTGTTGGCTTCTGAATGATAAAGGCCATGCACTGACCCTGGTTGACGTTGTCGAATGCCACGCAGCGAATATAAGCATTCGGGTATTCTGTTTTGCACTGCTGGATTTCATTGAGAACGAGCGACGGATCAGAACAACCAAACATGGGCAGCTTCCACAATGTCCAGTATCTCCCATCATAATACCCTGGCATCTGGCTATTCTCCCTGTAGACATACCCAACCTTCCATATTTGCAAAAATCAAATGTTAATGTTATGAGATAAACCCCAAAAGTTGATTGCTTAATTAGCGATCTACCCAGGATTATCATCGAGAAGTTACCCTTGCTAGTCAAATGTATAGTTCAAATATGACTGATCATAATAGTCAAAATACAGCGCATATTTAGTACGTAGGATATGATGCTGGATTGGATTAAATAGTCCAATCTGGTGTTAGTGTCATTCATATTGCACAGCAACCCGATACAACTATTCAATTACTTAATTTTGTCAGATAACATGTTGTACTAAAATCATACGCCATGGAGGTAGAGATGCAAGTTATAGTACATAGTTTAATGCACAGAAGAGAAGTTGAAATCTGATTTATTTGTTTGTTAAGAACAAAGAAGAGCATCTAAACTTTGTAAATCAACTAACCTCATCGAATTCGAGGCAAGGGATCCATCCCTTCTTGAGCATGTAGTCAATCTCCTACGCAATAGAATCATCAGAGAGTGGTGGTAGGTACGAGAGGGTCTCGAACTTCTTGTTGTTGATTGGATTCCATACCTGTAAAATTCCGCAAACCGAGGATGAGAATCTTGGGTACTTGGGATATAACTTGTTAGATTCCCTTACCTTCATGCAGAGAGTTCTTGATCCATTGGAGACGGTTTTCTTGGCCCATCCAATAGAATCGTTCACCGGAAAAACTTTCCAAGGGTTGGCTTTCAAGCCAGCATAACCGGATGCACCAACCGGAGCATTAAAGATCGCAGCAGACATCTTCGAACTTGATGTCCAACAGGATGACTGATCAAAAGTATAGTAAACCAACACAACCACAAGGTGAAGGACTATTTGTAAAGGTGGTGGAATTGGTAGGAGAAAAGAACAAAAAGTTGCAGTTTTGGTGGTTTGCAAGGCTGATGATGTAGGGTTTGCTGAGAGAGAGAGAGAGAGAGAGAGAGAGAGAGAGAGAGAGAGAGTGAGAGTGAGAGTGGTATTGAAAAAACGGTGGGTACCAGATGTTGTAGAGTTTCATAAGCCAATCAAAATCCACTTGGCATGGTGACAAAGTCTTGGGCCCCACCAAATTGATGGTGCCACTTGGGAGTCTCTCATAGCCAGTTTTGCAGACATCAGAGAAACCGTGGGAATTAAATATTAGGAAGATGTACGACTCATTTCTGCAACTGCCTTTTCATGGATGTGGAGGAAACTTTAAAATAGCTGAATGGGAACACAGGAATTTCAACAACCTTTCTTCGCTGCGAACGCAAGCTGAATTCTACAAAACAGGCAAGGCATGGTGATTCAGTAGAGAATATGAGAAAAATCAGCACTTTGATGGACAATATCATTCCGTAATCTAGTATTACAGGCGATGTTTTTAAATTAAATTTCGGAGGCGAAAAACTTAGAGACACACCAAAGGAGGCAGGTGCCTGAGCTAAATACAACAGCATATCACTCGCATGCTTGGGTTATGTTTGCCAGAACTCAACTCAGCTAGGCTGTAATATTCAACGTAAAGATTGTAGCTAGATGCGTCTTTGAAAAGACAGGATTGACTTGCCTGCGGATTGGTCCTTCTATTTCCAAGATAATGATTTCTTTTAAAGTAACGATGCGTCGCTAGCAATGGAAAAACTTTCAAGTGCCCTGCTGAGTTGCTTTAAAGTTCTTTTTATCTTTCTCGAATGGGAATGAGACTTATCGTCTGCTATAAATTTATGGACAATATCATCAGTCATCAGTCTCAATGAAGCTCCAAGCAGAAATTGTAACTACTTCTCTATCTCTCATCATTTTCCTTAGCCTCGTCACATCCTCCCAGTTGCCCATTTTGGCGTACATGTTGGCCAGAAGAACATACCTACCACTATGTTGAGGCTCTAATTCAATCAAAAGCTTCCCCACCCTCGCCCCTAAGTCAACATGGTCATGCATCAGACATCCATTAAACAAAGACCCCCAAATGGCACCGTCCGGTTTCATTGCCATACTTCTTATCAATACCTCTGCTTCATTCAATTTCCCAGCACGGGCCAAGAGATCAACCATGCAGCCATAGTGCTCAATCCCCAGAGCAATGCCATAAACTTTACTCATGCGTCCTATTAACCGCCATGCTTCATTTACCAGAATTTTGTGATTACATGCAGTGAGTACTCCAACAAATGTCACTGCATTTGGTTTAGGTCCTTTCTTTTCCATTTCTGCAAAAAGCTCAAGCCCCATATCATTCTCACCATTGATGGCAAATCCCATGATCATAGCACTCAAAGTAGTTACATCTTTACGAGGCATCCTGCTAAACACGTCTTGTGCGTCTTTAATACATCCACATTTTGCATAAAAATCTACTAGTGCAGTACCAAGCTCAAGTCCATACTCAAAACCATTTTCTTCCAAAAACGAATGAATCCACTTCCCTTCTTTAAAGGCACCCACAGAAGCACAAGCATTAAGAGTGCTAACCAAAAGAGACTCTTTGAGCCTCACTTGTGTATGGCTTTTCAATTGACGAAACAGGTCAATTGCTTCATTGAAACAAGCATTCCCAACATACCCAGAAACCATTGCACTATAAGAAACATCATTTATATCCGGCATTGCATCAAACAGATCACGAGCTTCATGAACCAGCCCATTACTACAATATCCACTAATAAGACTAGTCCAACAAACCACATTCTTATCCACACTTTCCCCAAACACTCTACGAGCAAATTCCACAGCTTCACATCGACAGGAGGCCCTAATAAGTGAGCTAATAACATAAACATCACACCCATGCCCAAACTTCATTATTTGACCATGTACCTGACCAAGCAAAGATACATCAAGACATGCTTTAACTAAAAAGGTGAAAGTGCAAGCGTTTGGCTCTGTGCCTATCCTTCTCATTCTGGTGTAAATGGAGAGACCCTTTTCAGATTCTGAGCTTTTCAAGAAACCCATTATCATGGAATTGTAATCAAATACATTGGGTCTTGGAATTTGGTGTGACAGTGTCTCAGCATAGTGCATATTACCATGTTCTGATAATGCAGAGAAGGCTACGAGCTTGCTGGCAGTGTAGGCAAAACGAGCAAGACCAGTAGTGACTGCATGGGCATGGATTTTCTTAAGTTCGTCCAAGATTGAACATCTTTGTAGTAGGAGAAGATATGGAGGACAAGTTACTGGTTTTAAAACCATTTTGCTGCCCATCTGGAGCACACTTTGAAGCTGACAAAGCAGCGGCTCCCATTTTAAGCCCCTTTTTTATTTATCAGACTTTGTGGGAAAGTGCTCATTTGTGTGACACTCAAACATCATCATATCCAAGATCCGCCACTGTCGACAAAACAAATACTGAGTACGCCACAAAGTAATAAATAGATCTTGAGCTCAAAAGAAAGGAAAAAAAGAGATGGTTGGGGTAATTAATGTGTCAAAAATAAAGCCAGGCGTTGGAAAGAATTTTGACCCCTTATTGTGGCCAAAGTATTATGTGTTGTTATAAATAATTATCTGACTACTAGTTTTAGTGAATGTAAGTATGTTGCACCTGTAATACAACACTTAAAAATATTGAATATTAATGTTCAAAGTTTAAGAGGAAGCTCAGTGTTGATCCATCTTGTATTTTGGATGATGACAAGAGGGGAAAAGCTCATGTTTGGGGCTCATGTTTGGGATGTAGTGTGTTAGTTTTTGTTTGGCTTCGGCCTGCCATTTACCACAAAAAAGAATTGAATATTATATTTCCATTGCAAAAATTAATCTGACGTCTGACAAGTGACCATAAAATCTTTTGATCCTCGCCAACTCTATTTTTCCTTCTTAATCTTATCTTTTTCTCTAAACCCTAAACATCATAAACATCATACCATCTTCTGATCCTCATATCCTCGTTCTCCATATTTTCATTATGTTTAAATACTTCATAATATATATGTCATTTTATTTTGTAGTTTATGATGAAATTATATGTACTTTAAGTATAAGCAGACACTTATTTATACGAAATATAATATATTTACTTAAATCCGCCTAGCTGCCTAAGCATTAGGCCCTAGCCCGCCGCCCAACTAGCGCCTAGTGTCTTTTAGAACCTTGTTGGCGCTTCAAAAATGTCATTCCCCACCCCTTGTACTTTTTTATAGGGGAGAATTTATACATGAAGTAGCGCATGATTATGTTATTGGTGTGCCAATAACAATACTCGCCCCTAAACCCAGAAGCATTTAAACAAACTGAACGAAAAGTATTAGAACATATACTTACTTGGGTTTCAAGTGAATGAGAAAGTCCTATGAAAGCCATAATCAGTTCCTTCTTTTCAGCCAGTTCTTGTAAACCCCATTGAACAAATAGTAAGCAATTAAACCTAACAAATAACCAGATATCTGTAACCCGATCGGAATCAAATGTTTTCATCAATATTACGACTTTTCTTTCGGGTCTGAATACTCAGTAAAATTACTCAAAAACCCATTCAACAAAAATAAATATAAAAAAAGTCCTATTGTGTATGTCTACTTTTGAGTAAAACGAAATTTCTTCAAAACCCATACCTGATTGATGCCGAAGGAATTAGGGAATCTGAGCTTCTGTTGACGAGAGATATTCGTCTCTGAAGGCGGCGGTGGCGGCGGCGGCACATATTAATTCGGTTTTCTCAACTTAGCCATGGAGATGTTGTGGGTTTGTGTTGGGTTTGCTTTCGCTGGGTAGATAAGAAAAGGTGAGAGGAAGAGGCAGAAGGTTCAAAGGATGAGCTTTTGCCGGAGTCGAGGAGGGAGGGTGGGCGGCCACTGGGTGGTGGGCGGCTCACTGGGTTGGGTGGGTGCAGAGGCGTGGTGACTGATGGGGTTTTCTGTATTTTATTATAAAACTTCATATAAAACTGACACTGTCAAGAGAAGGAACAGGTGTAAAAAATTGGATAAGGATTCTTTCCAGATTCCCGTATCATCTTAGCCGTCCATTGTATATTGCGCGGTTAGTTTTTGCTAGGTAATATTTGTATTCAATTTTAAATAAAAAATTTAAAATGATTTCTAGTCACAGAATGACTGATGAACTGATTCGTGAGATTATCACAAAGAGGATTTGGAGATGATCATGTTCATAAAAAAAAGGTTTCACACAAGCAATTTTCGCACAGCATAATTGAACTCCGTTTTTTAATTGTTGCTATTAGTTTTTGTCAATCGCAAGTTTGATATTTATATATTCCTATTTTTCTTGGAGAAAATCTATTAATGTATTCGAAAAGTGTGAGAGACATGCAAAAGACATATTCGTTGTGGTAGTGTCGTCTCAAATCTATTACAATTTCACGAGTATATTTTAACTTTTTTTTGTATAGCATTGTATGATTAGTTTAGAATACGACCATCATACTGTATTTATTTGCAAGTTATTCACATGGTCTAAGAGACAAAAAAAATTGGGGCTGATCACTTGTCCATTAAATCATTTAATAAGATGATGCCACATCCTCATTTACTTGCCACGTAAATTTTTGCTGAAAAAAATATATGAAATAACTATGTAGCCGAAGTAATAATAATATGAATGAAATATCCATAATAAATAGGCCAAATCGGATAAATGATTCATGTGGTCATAAAGTATTTAGAAAATAGCCCATGTGCTAAAAAACTCAGATTTAAACTCCTGTAGTGTACTCCGTTAGCAAATTTAGTCTAAAAGTGATTTTTCCGTTAACTGTCTGTTAATATGGATAAAATTGTACTTTGACGTGTGCACCTTCTTCTTCCTGCATCTCCCCTACGCAACCCCCCAAACTCACTTCGTGCAAGAGAAAAAGGAGAAACCATTTTCAGTTTTCCACAGAGCTACCACCGCAACCATGGCGGCCATCGTGTCCCTGTGGGTGCGCTTATGGGAGTTTTCCATAGTTTGGGCGACTTCCGAGGAAATCGAAGCCGTCTCAGCTTGGGTTTTTTTTATTCGAACAATTACGGCCTTTTGGGGGGGTTTTGTTCTCGAATTGGTGTACGTAGCAGAGGAAATCTCTGTTTTACCAGAGGTGTGATATATTAGATGTGAAATTTTCTATCTTCCTGTTTGGTTGCCTAGAAAGTCCAAGAAAGTAGAGAATGATCAATCAAACAATTAGAGGGGGGATAAAGTTTCTGGGATTGATTTTGTTCTGTCTTTATTTTTGATTTAGTAAACTTAATCAAATTATTATCTCGTTTCTACCGAACATATGTGTGCGTGTGACTTGATTAATAATTTGGGTAACTTTTGTTTTCCAATTAAATTGAGGTTCAGTGTGTAAGATGAACAATTTTATGGTTTTCCTTGGATCTGGAAGATGATGGGAAAGTTTATCTAATTCGTGATTTTCTTTGGTGGGCTGTGAAGAAGAAGGTGGATGCAGGAAGAAGAAGGTGCATAGGTCAAAAAACAATTTTACCCATGTAATAACATATAGTTAACAAACAAATCACTTTTGGACTAAATTTGCTAACAAAGTACACCACAATGGTTTAAATCCAAGTTTTTTTAGTACATGGACTATCTTCCGAATACCTTATGACCACAGGGATCATTATCCGATTTGGCCTAATAAATAACGTGCCTATATGCTTGTCACACAACATGCACGGTTGCTCGAAGAACGCCAGATGTCAAACTACGGAAATGAACTTTCACTACTATAAAGACCCCAAAAAAGTACAAAAGCAACTCCCAAAAAGTCTTATTTTAGGTTAAAATTCTAGTTTAAGCATGAGAGATTCGTCAACCTACACAAGCCAAGGACATTTGAGTACCATGTCACTTGGTTTCAAGTGGAAATGGGACGTGGTTAGGAAATCTGACTAAAGTTTTTCTCCGAGGAGACCCTAAAATAATGGAAAAAAAATGTCACTCAAACATGGCATAAGTTAGTAACACCACTTGACAATATGACCATCACCGAAAAAACATTGTGCACCTTGATCTAGAATTGATGAATTTTCAAATTTTACATCATAAAATGGTACTAGAATTGTGATACGACATAAATAACAAATGCTAGGGGCAGAGGAGATCCACCAGTATTACTGCTTGCAGATACCCTTGAGTGCCCAACTCTTAAGAAACTTAGTGCCAAAGCTTCATGCAGAACCCGTTGGGCACAACACACGATTTCTTGCTTGAAATACTTTCTGAGAAGGTGTCAACAAGTTGCCCTGCAAGCGATGCAGGATCTTCGATAAAGGTATCTACAAACACTTTCACAATCCTTACCTCCTGAGGGGTAGCTCTCAAGCTATACCAGGTCAGGAATTTCTGTCGGAAGTTCTGCTCGATATGCCCCTCGCACTCTAACCACCTGATAATCTTCACGTAATACTCAAAATCCCTATCTGAATCATTGTTTGTCACACACTCCTCACCTTTCCTTTCCGCACTTCTCTCTCTTTTTTGATGTGCTGCCATCTTGGGGTTCCTCTCCTTTCCCAGTCCCATTTTTTAAATCCTTGCTACTGGAATTTGATCTTACATTCCTTCCTAGCCCATCTTTAAGAATGTCGATTTTGCAAGGAGTGATGGGTAAGCCAGCCTCTGAGCTACCAACAAATGGGACACATTCCATTCCAGTTCGAGCAGGGGAATTTGACCCATTATCAGTGCTGATGTCTTCAACGATTTGGCAATCTGGTGATTGCTTGCGCTCGAGTTCAATGACATCGGATCTAGATATGGAGCCAACCATCCCATTGGTGTGTTCCTCGTCCAGCATTGAAATAACATCTGCTGTAGGTCCTCTATCCATGCTGTTGGCATTGACAACATCATTTGATAAATCAGCAAAGACGGTATTATCAGTGTCCTTACAGAAAGTAATATAATTGTCAGCTCGGTTATCAGCTTGATCACCATAAGCAGTAATATTATTAGTTTCATCTTCCACTGAAGAAGGATTAGAAAGGCTACTATAGTTGGTAACTGGGCTTTGACTTCTCTGTGTTACTGAACAATTAGGGACTTCATCTCCAGCAGTACTTGTGGAGAACCATACTTCACACATGCCCAAATGTCTTGAATCATTGAACGAAGTCACTTTGAAACAGTACTCTGTAGCTGGAGTTAGTCCAGTGACAACAAATCTCGTCTTTGGTGCAAACAACAGTGTAGCAGTGGGTTCTGTTGGATAATTCATATCATCAGCCTTCCGGTGCCATAATTTGTAACCAACTAAAATTTCTGAGGGAGGATATTCAGAACTCAAAACCACAGTGAGCGATGTAGCATGGACATCCTCAAATCTAACCATGTCTGGAGCAATAAAACTTGGATCTGAAATGTTTAAAAGATGTATAGCAGAAAACATCCATTAAATTCCTTATTGCACTCTCTGAATAAGCCAAATACAAGAAAAAATGCATCATCTCCATTCTCCAATAACCTCATGGTTATTCTGTGATTCAATTAGGAAGTGGTGAGGAAAGAAAAAAAACCAGAAACTCAGAATCAAATGAATGAAGAGATTATCGCAACTACATCATTGTATATGCATTATCATTAGAAAATTTGTCGAATGCAAGTAAATTCAATGATTGTGGTTATGGCATGAAAATTGCAGCTATTTACAGAGTTTTCGAGTGCATGTAAATCCAGTGATTGTGGTTAGGGTGTGACAGTTACTGGTAAATAGATTACCTTGTACATTAGGCTTGGCCAATAGAGGCAATGTTGCTTTCTGAAGCACCGAATCCAGTGACTCCACAGCAAATGTACATAGTTTCTGAATCTCTGGTCCAGAAGAAAGCCTGTTAACAATACCCCGACCCATCTTTAATGGTAAGCCAGTTAGCGGACCCACTTCACCTTGAAGCTTCTTCATAGCCTCATCCACAATCTCATGAAGCTTTTGATACTTTGCAGTCCCCTTGAGAAGCTTATGACTCAAGGAAATACGATAGCACAGTATGTCTACCCGTCTGGTATCCTTTGCTATTACTAGCTGTTTCCGCCAGGATCTAAATACATGTAAGAACATAGGCCAATCAGATTGCTGTATATGAGGAAAAAGTAACATCTAAGGTAACCAGTACAAAAAATTAGTATTAATTATGTGTTTGAAAGTATTTCATCATAAACGTTCACTCAGAAAAGAACTAAGAACCATTTAATTGCATTAAATAAACATGAAATAAATGTATTAGTGAACCATTCATGATGTCTTCAATTGTGTCACTTGTCAACAAACAATCACAATCTAACTCACTTTATTTATCACAGAGAGAGAGAGAGAGAGAGAGAGAGAGAGAGAGAGAGAGAGAGAGAGAGAGAGAGAGCAAGTTTTTGACAAATAGAAATAGTATCAACTCTACACAAAACCGATGAGGACAGAACTCCGAACTTTCAGGCAATAGAAATAGGGCGGTGCCATCCACACACCCATTTTTACCCGACATTCACCTCTCCCAGACCCTGCGTAAAGCGGGAGCCTTGTGCACTGGATACGACCTTATACATTTACATGCTTGCCTTTTATATATATGTATATATATGTATATATGTATATATGTCTATATATGTATATATGTCTATATATGTATATATGTATATATGTATATATATGTGTGTATATATATATATGTATATGTATCTACGATGTGACTTTAGCAGCAAAATCTCCAAAACCACATTTTCAAAAGCACTAGACAGAATTCCTAACTTTCAGGCAATAGAAACAACACACAAACACCTGCATGTTCGTGTGAATTATACATTTACATGCTTGCCCTTCGATATATATGTATATGCATCTACCATGTGGCTTTTGCACAAAGATCTCCAAACCACATTTTCAAAAGCACTAAACATTCTCTTTTTTTATAATACTATCAAGGTCTGCAAG